TCCAGTTACATGGTGTTGGCACCTGTGTTTGGCTACCTGGGTGACAGGTACAATCGGAAATATCTCATGTGCGGGGGCATTGCCTTCTGGTCCCTGGTGACACTGGGATCATCCTTCATCCCTAGAGAGGTGAGGCCCCAAGCCAACTCCTGCTTTTTCAACCCCCCACCCCCTACCCACAGTCATTCTTTGCTGCTGCTTCATGGAGTCAGGGTCTTTAGTCTGGGCCATGTTATATCCCCCTCCTTGCCTGAAGTACTCTGGAATGGGGAGGGCTAAAGTTAATCTGGGACTTGAGGGAGTGGCCGCTTCCTCTTCCCTTTTCTTCCCAAACCTTTTGTTCATGATCTTCTCTCTTCTTGACCCTTGACTTCTTCGCTCCACACCCAAAACATTCTCATTTCTTACCATGGAAAACCTTACCTGGACCACACTCCCTCCCTCTCCTCCCTGCTTGGTCAGACTTCCTGCAGAACCCCTCATGCTCAGCCACTGCCGGTCCTTGTGCCCAGATCTCTGCCCTGACTTTTGTCCCCTACCGTCCACATTGAAGCTACTCTTGCCAAAGTCAATAGTGACCTCCAGGTTGCTAAATACAGCAAGCTCCCACTTCCTACTCCTGCTCATACTTGCGCTCCTTGAAGCCTCCAGATTTGTTGACCCACTTCTTCTTCCTGAAACTCTCTTCTTCCAGCTTCTGTGACCCCATGTTCTCTTGCTGGCATTGTTTCTTTGCTCCTTTGTGATCTCCTCTGTCTGTTATCACTTCCTGCCCAGGAATTCTGTCGCCCTCAGCCTTGGGCATTAAACACTTTCCTTGGGTGGCTGCACACTGTTCATAACTCCAGGGGGCTTTTGTAGACAAATGAACCCTCACCTAAGATTGAATTTATTCTGTACTTACTGGGTACAAAGTAACAAATAGTCCTTTGATTTTAGAATTCCCCCCAACACCTATGTGAGCAAGGTATTATTATTCCACTTTTGCAGATGAGGAAACTGAGGCTCAGAGAGGTTAAGTTACTTTCCCAGAGTCACAGCTAGTAAGTAAGTGGTGGAGCAAGGATTCAAGTCCAGGTCTGTCAAAGTCTAAAGCCAGGCCTCTCTCGCCATCTCCACTGCCAAGTGGCGAGGTTGGCTGGGAGGCCGGCTTCATGGTGGGCTGCTACCGTCCCCTGTCTCGTTCCCCAGCGTTTCTGGCTGCTCCTCCTGACCCGGGGCCTGGTGGGGGTCGGGGAGGCCAGTTACTCCACCATTGCACCCACGCTCATCGCTGACCTCTTCGTGGCAGACCAGCGGAGTCGGATGCTCAGTGTGTTTTACTTTGCCATTCCTGTGGGCAGGTGGGTGAGCCCCGGGCCCGGGAGGAGGCAGCGGGCCTGGTGTAGGAGATGTGACTGACTCGTGTCCCTCGTCCCCTCTGTTCTCCCAGTGGTCTGGGCTACATTGCAGGCTCCAAAGTGAAGGATGTGGCTGGAGACTGGCACTGGGCTCTGAGGGTGAGTCTGGTCCTTCCATGGGAGGCTGAGCACCATCTCCCTGGCCCTCTTTCCTGTCCTCACACCCTGTCTGTGAGCAACCTCACCATGACAGAGACGGCAGAAGTCTGTTGTAAAGCTTAAGTCCCAAAGAAGTGTCAGTGTACCGGAAGGTTCTAGGGCTGGTTCCTAGTGACACAGTTCAAGGGTCATCTTGTTCTCGACTTTCCTCAGACTTCATTCTCAAGCAAGTGAAAGCTTAAACGAACACCTTTCCCCTTAGAAACCTTGAGCACCGACCTGGGATGGAGATTGATTAGATCAACATGGGTCACCTGTCTCCCTACCAGGGCAGCCAATCATACTGCTCTCATTGGCCAGGCCTGGCGGGGGCGGGGGGGGGGGGAGTTGAGAGAAGGGGAGGATGGCTCCTCATAATAAAATTAGGATGCTGTTACCAAAGATGGAACAAAAGTGAGGCTTGCAGAAACGGGCATTCCTAGCGTAGGACCCCCTGCCCACTCCTCATGGCAGCTTCTGTTTAGTCCTGGCAGTTGTGAGTGCCCCTCCCAGGGCCCATCATGAAACTCACTCTCTTCCCAGGTGACACCAGGGCTAGGAGTGGTGGCTGTTCTGCTGTTGTTCCTGATTGTACGGGAGCCACCAAGGGGAGCTGTGGAACGCCACTTGGGCTCACCACCGCTGAGTCCCACCTCGTGGTGGGCAGATCTGAGGGCTCTGGCAAGAAAGTGAGTTTAGTCCCACCCTAGTCCAACAGCTGAGGCTTCAAGGTTTGAAGGGCACAGCCCTCGGGTACTTTTCTGTGGACTGGCCATCACCCAAGACCAGGAATTCTGCAGACACTGCCCCCTTGTGGCAACTGTTTGAATTACAGACCCAGGAGTGTCCGTACCTCATGCCCTGATCTTAACCAAATCTTGCTGGGAAGGGATAGCCAAGGGTCTCTACCCTGGTCCCTTGGAGTCTGACCTCCTCCATCCCTCCTTCCTTCCCGTGAGCAGTCCTAGTTTTGTCCTGTCGTCCCTTGGCTTCACTGCTGTGGCCTTTGTCACGGGCTCTCTGGCTCTGTGGGCACCTGCCTTCCTACTGCGTTCCCGTGTGGTCCTGGGGGAGACCCCCCCGTGCCTTCCCGGAGACTCCTGCTCCTCTTCTGACAGGTACACAGAAGGGACTGGGCTGGGTGGCCTGCAGGTGGCAGGTGGAGTGAAGCTGCGGAATCTCGGTGTCCTGGTGTGGAAAGTCCATCTGTCTCCTGGTGCTTTGTGAACCATGAGATAGAGATACTGGACCTGCGGAGACGTGAGCAGGGAGAGCTTTGTATGCATATGAACTAGCCCCCTCCTCTGCCCCCAGCCTCATCTTCGGCCTCATCACCTGCCTGACCGGTGTCCTGGGTGTGGGCCTGGGTGTGGAGATCAGCCGCCGCCTCCGCCGCTCCAACCCCCGGGCAGATCCACTGGTCTGCGCTGCTGGCCTCCTGGGCTCCGCACCATTCCTCTTCCTGTCCCTGGCCTGTGCCCGTGGCAGCATCGTGGCTACTTATGTGAGTAGGTCCCAGACACAAGGGGGTGTTCTGGGTCCAGGGTGGACGAAGGGTATGCTGGGCAGGCTAAGGGTTGGCTAGTGTCATGGTTAAGAGCAGACTTAGGAGCAGGAATGCCTGGCTTTGAATCCCAGCTGTAGGACATTGGACAACTGACTTAAGCTCGCTGTACTGTTTCTACATCTGTAAAGAGGGCATAATGGTGTCACTTGTCTGATGGGTTTGTGAGGAGGAAATGACGTAACATGAATCTGGCACATGGTAATCCTCCATGTTATGTCTGCCCACCTTCCCTTCTCTCAGATTTTCATCTTTGTTGGGGAGACTCTGCTGTCTATGAACTGGGCCATTGTGGCTGACATTCTCCTGGTGAGTAGCTGGGCAGCTCCAGGGTCAGCCTGGAGGCTGGTGGAAGCAGGGGCTTGGGTCCGGAGACGCTGAATTGTGGCTTCTTCAAAAGCCACCCCAAACTGACTGGACTCCAGCCCCAGATAGACCTGTAATCCTCGCCCTGACCTCTCTGGGCTTTGCTGAGCCCTGCTCCCACGAGGAGCACCTGAACACTAAGCCCCTGCCCTTCCCGCCCGCCCCCAGTATGTGGTGATCCCCACGCGGCGGTCCACGGCAGAGGCCTTCCAGATTGTGCTGTCCCACCTGCTGGGTGATGCTGGGAGCCCCTACCTCATCGGCCTGGTGAGCTCTGCCCCTTGACTGGACTTGTGGAGACTAGGGGGGTCAGGTGCTTCTCACCTCAGAACCCCAGTCAGACTGCAGATCTTTATCCGTGAAGTGTGGGCCTGGTCCGGCTGCTGGGACTCTCCTGCCCTGGCCCAGCTCCTCTCCTAGGTCTCTCCCCTCTGATGGCTCCTACCCTCTCTCCAGATCTCTGACCGCCTCCGCCAGAACTGGCCCCCCTCCTTCCTGTCCGAGTTCCGGGCTCTGCAGTTCTCCCTCATGCTCTGTGCCTTCGTTGGAGCGCTGGGCGGTGCAGCCTTTCTGGGCACTGCCATCTTCATTGAGGGCGACCGCCGACGGGCCCAGTTACACATGCAGGGTCAGTTGGGGCCTCTTGTCTGTCCATGTGTCTGCCCAGTCCTGTGTACTTGCCATATTTCCCTTCATTCTGTCTGTCCAACAAGCTGAGGTCTGTGCAGAGCCTAGTGGCTCTCTGGCTGCTGCCCTGTCCGTTTCTCAGCACCTAATTTCCCACCCCCCGCCATCCAGCTTGTGTCTTATTCACTCAGCCCTGACTCTGACCCTTTTCACCCTGAAGGTGTGTTGCGCGAGGCAGGACCCACAGATGACCGCATTGTGGTGCCCCAACGAGGCCGCTCTACCCGGGTCCCTGTGTCCAGTGTGCTTATCTGAGGGGACATTGCACGCATGCTACACGCCTGTTGGCACTTGTCCTGGCCCCACCCAAGGAAGAGCCAGGTCCAGCCCCCAGGAGGGCACTGGGCTATGTTCCAGCTTCCAGACACTACAGAGCAGCCCAGGGGGCTGGGAGACGTGAGGGCTTAGGGGGTCCCCTTTACTGGGGCAGCCCCAGGGGCTCGGTGCTATTTGTAACTGAATAAAATTTGTAGCCAGACCCCAAGTGCCTGCTGGAGTCTTTATTTGGGTGTCAGTGACCACTGGCCTGCTGGGCTGCCCCCTTCGTCCCTGCCTTCTGGCTGGGTGGAGGAGAGGGGACTGTGTGTGACCTTGAGTCATGCCCATGTTTCCCCCCAGGTCCCGCCCCTCTGACGGGTAATCCTGGGTGAGGGGATGGGCACTGCCCTCCGCACCTCAGAATTCCCAGGGTCAGAGCATCCTTCTCCGCTGCCTCCTCAAGCCCATGGATGTGGAGGCCACTCTCCCTTCCTGAAGGCCAGCTGATCCTTCTTGAGGGCGTCCTCCCTGCTCCCCACTGCCGGGTGGGGGTGGGGAGGGGCGGGGGCAGCCGGCTGAGGAGCCCGATGATTTCCTGCCCTCGCCGGGCGCTCACCACAGCTTCCTGCTGCGGGCGGGCAGGCGCCCGGGAGAGGCAACGCGGAGCTGAGGCGCAGGTAGGACCAGGGGATCGGGGTGTAGGGACCATGCAGATGGCTGCCAGTGTCTGGGACCTCAGCCCAGGACCTGGCTTGGCAGCCCTGGGGCCAAGGGTCTTCCAGAACCAGTGCTGACCGCACGCAGCCCAGCCAGAGGAGGGGGCTCAGGGAGCCCCCCAAGGCACAGCTGTTCCCCAGCCTGGTACCCTGCTAGGCCCAGTCTGAGGCCTGCCTTCCGTCTCGGCAGATGGAGGCGGCTGTCCTGGACACCGTCTTGGGTCTCCTGCTTCTGCCTCTCTTGATTGTGCTGCTGACTGTGTTGTGTTTGCACTGCCGCGAGCTGCCAGGTGAGTGGGCCCACATGCCTGGACACCAAGGGACCCTTAACCCAACTCGGCCCTCAGCATGGCCTCTTCCTGCCTTACCAGCCCTCTCTTCCCCAGCCTCGAACGACAGTGCTCCCTCCGACAGGTGAGTCTGCCCAGTGTCTGCCCGGTGGGTTCCCCAAGCTGGACAGGGCTCTCCCGGCCTCATTCCTAAGCCATGTCTCTCTTGCCAGTTTGAACTCAAGTAACAGATTCAACAAGCGGCCTTGTGAGTACATGGAGCACCTGTGCCCAGGGTGGAGGGACGAGGGTCCTACATGTGAGTCCCTTTGTGGAGGTCCCACCTGGGTGCGGGGCCTGCTGGGTCTCTCTGAAGCCTGGCTAAGGGTGGGGACAGCATCTGTAGTTACTCCTTCAGCTTGGTCCTATTCTCAAACACAGTCGCCCCCTGGCCACCAGCCCCCATCGCCCCCATCGCCCCCATCAGCCTGCCTGCTCCCTCCTTCCTGCCCACCAGCTTGTCCAGGAACCTGCCAGTCCTCCCCATCCCGTGAGTAGCCCTCAGTCCCCTCTCACTTCCCTGAAGGAGGGGCCTCTTGTCCTGTTACAAAACCCCTTGCCTCCAGATCCCCCTTCCCAGGCATAACCCTTGATCTTTGACTAGCAGATCTCCACAGCCGTCTGTAGTCGCCCACCAGATGTCATCTTCCCAGCAGGACTCAGATAGTGGTAGGTGTGGAGAGGAGCTCGGAGGACAGGCTGGGCGGAAGATGGGACTCGGGACTAGCTGAGCTGTCTCTCTCTGTCTCTCTCTCTCTCTCTGTCTCTCTCTCTCTCTCTGTCTCTCTCTCGCTTCCTCTTTGAAGCCAACAGTGTGCCGAGCTACGAGAATGAAGGTGCGTGTGCCTGGGACCCAAGGTGCCCTGGTGGGTGGCGCGGCTGGCCTGCCCTGGGCTATACTGGCCCATTGTCACCCCCAGGTCCTGTCTGTGAGGACATTGATGAAGACGAGGATGAGGACCATGATCGCTACTTGTGAGTGGCCAGGTGGAAGGTGGTGGCTGAGGCTGGGACGCCCTTGCTCACCCGCCATTTTCCTTCTCTCAGAGAGGTACTTCCCGATGACACCTCGGCCCCCAGCCCATCTCCTGTGGAGAGCAAATCCAGCCGCACACACAGCACTGTCTCCAGTGAGTTGGCATTCTCAGCCGTCCATCCGTCTTCTCCCCTGGATGAGGCTTCTGTGTGGCTGCCCCTGCTCTCTGCCCTCTCGTGCTGTTTTTTGAGTTGATTTCTTCCTTTACCTCTTGGTTTTTTCTCTGTTCTCACTTTCAACAGCTCCTGTGCTTGAGATATTAGACTCTCTGCTCTAATTGAATTTTCTTATCTTTTTGCTCGTATTTCCTAGCTGTCTTTGTGTATGTGTGTTTAACTTTTGGAGTGATATTTTACACAGAAAAATAATTTTTCATTCAAGTTTTTATACAGTCTGTTTTGTGGCACTGATTACAATCTCCACAATGTAAAATATAACAGCACTTTTCCGATTTTCTCGCTCTTTCACATTTCCTTTCGTCCTTCTTTCCTACCCCTTCCTGACTTCTGAACTGCTTTATTCATGGGCACATACTGCCCTTTTGATCTCATATTGGTTGTTTTCAGGAGAGTGTACCTCCCTGATGCTATTTTGTTCACAGTGTGTAATCCCTTTCAGAATGGTTGGTTCTCGTAGCTGGGCACCATCTAGTGCTTCTGGTCTCAGAGTTAGGGGGCTGAGGCTCATGTGGTCAATTCGCCCTTTGGACTAATTGTGTCCATGAGTTTTTAATTTTCTTTTCTCTTTGTTCCAGACCGGGAAAGATAAGTAGTTGCATCTTAGATAGTTTGTTTCTTTGTCTAGGAGATTTCTTAACTTTATTTTTCCAACACTTCTACTGAAATTGTGGCTCTCCTTCTCAAAGCCCTTTCTGGATCTTTGTTTCTTTTTCATAGCCTCCAATTTTGGGTTTCATGGAGACAATACCATCTTGTCAATCTCTAAATGTACTCATTATGGTTGGTTATTATTTTTTTCAGACATTTTCTTTTCCTTTCTGCATTGACTCAGTTTCCTTTGAGCTGTTTCCTCCCTATCTCGCAGTCTTTAGTTTGCTGCCACTCTCCTCTCTAGGGACTTGCCTTGGACTATCATCAACCACAGCTCAATCTGTACCTCTCTTGAGCTCCAGACTCTGTCCAACTGCCTCCACTTGATTCATCCTAAGTATGTAACAGTTCACGTGGTAGAATACAATGGTAACTATATAAGAACATAGCAGTTCATGAGGTAGGCTCCAATGTTAAATATGTAAGTATGTAGCAGTTCACGTGGTAGACTCCCACGGTTACTATCTAAGTACATAGTTGTTCATGAGTAGACTCCAATGGGAAGTTTAGCCAACAGTTACTGGGGGCTCAGAAGAAAGACTTGGTGATCAGTTTCTGAAAGGCTACAGCCATGGAAACCCTGCTCTGACATACATGGGGCCACTATGAGTTGAAACCTACAATGGGAACAAGTTCCCAGTTACTATGGGGACTGACTGTGGGATGGTCTTGGCTCTCTGTGCTTGGAAGTCTCAGGTGGTCCTGTTGGAGGTCTTTGGTGGCTGCTTTGAGAGCCTTTGGGTGTGTGAATTGGAGGCTCTGGGGCTCTGTGTGTGAGGGTCTTTGAGTAACAGTGTGGGGGGCTGTTTTCCTGCAGTGGACTCAAAGGACGAGTATGTGAACGTTGACGAGAACAAGGAGAGTGCAGAAGCGTCTCTAGGTGAGTGGCAGCCCTCTAGCTCCTACCCAGGCCACCTTCTCCCCCTTCCGCCCAGTGTGGCCTGTCCCCTTGCCTTGAGTGTGAGTGATCTCACTCAGTCCTGTCCCTTTGCTCTCTTGCACTCCCTTTCGGTGTGGCTATGCCTCCTGACCTGTCCCCACAGATGGGAGCCGCGAGTATGAGAACGTATCCCCGAAACCGCAGTCCTCTGACAGGACTGAGCCTGGTATGTAAGGTCATGGGGCGGATGGGGCAGAAGCAGGGGCGCTGCCCTTGCGGGGGGTGGGTGTGGGTGTTGGTTTTCAAGCTGGAACCTACCCTCTCCTTTCTTCATAGCCACCCTGAGTTCTCAAGAAGTGGAGGAAGAGGAGGGAGCGCCCGATTATGAGAATGTGTATGTTTCACTGAGGGCCTGCTGAGCCCCTGTCCTGCCTTCAGGGATCCCTGCCAGCCCACCTCATCACCTCAGGCCTGTCCCCACTGACCCGGGGCTCTTCTGATCCCTGCTAGCTTCTGAGCCCATAATCTCCCCTCTCCCCCGCCCTGTGATGTTTCAGGTGAGGCGAGTCTGCCCTGAGCCAGTCTTGCAGAACGCTGGAGCCAGAACACTGGAACTGGGCTGCTAGAAGTGGCTTTGGACCCCTCACTGTTCCTTTGCTCTAGTCTGACATCAGCCTGAGAAATTTCCCCTAACTTATTGTCACTTTGGGGTCTAGTCCACGTTCCTCCAACACTCTGCACCTTCTGACGCAGCCTGAGAATGGACTACCCTCAAACCAGCCCTACTCTTGTCCTAGAATAAAGGCTGATTGGTCTGTATCTCTGTTGGCTTTGGTGGGCCTGGTGGGTGAAGGTGGGCTGTGTGGGACAGAGTGAGTCAGAGACTGGACCCATCTGTATGTATGGGAGCATGTGTGTCTTTGTGGCTCTGCTGTGTCCTCCATAAGGGCTAAGTGTCCTCAAGGGCCCTGGCCAACTATTGTAGGAGTGACAAGAGGTGATGGCTAGGCAGACTGGCGCCTCTGGGGCTCTGAATGTGGCTCCCACGAGAAACAAACAGGTTGCTGAGCTGGCGGGAGAGCAGGGTGTGGAGAGAGACACTGGGTCAGGAAGAAAATCGACAACAACATCCTGACCCTCAGTTTCTCCATCTTTAAAACAAGAGGGTAGACCAGAACATCTCAAATGGGTTTTGTTGTTGTTGTTGTTAAGTGCCATTGAGTTGGTTCTGACCCATGGCGACCCTGTTTACGGTTTCCAAGGAGCGGCTGGTGAGCTTGCTGTTCAAACCGACTTTGCAGTCCAGCACATTAGCCCACAGCGCTACACCAGGACTCCAATCTTACCTTTAGTGATTTTCAATAAAACAGAGCTTACACAATTGTCCAGAAACATTTTAAGTATTTTGTTGTTAGGTGCTGTCGAATCGGCTCCTCCTCACAGCAACTGTATCACAACAGAACAAAACGCCACCCATCCTGCGCCACCCTAGCAATTGTTTGAGCCCGTTGTTGCCGCCATTGTGTTAAATGTTTTAGACAACTTTAAAAACGAATTTGTTGTTTGTAGTCCTCAAGTCAATTCCAACTCATAGCGACCGCATGCTACAGACTAGAATTTCCCATAGGTTTTTGGTGGTTTTTTGCTTTAACTTTTTATTGTGAATTGGATGAAGATTTCTAGAGTAGGTCACCATCTGCATCCTTTCCCCAACCATTGTGACTGGTTCAGTGGGGCCATGTCTGATGGCAGTCCCCTCAGTGTGCCATCACTGACCCCGATGATTGTGATCCCCTCCATTCCTCTTCCTCTCCTGACCCTTCTGAACTTTGTCCTCACCTAAATATGCCCCGTTGATTTCAAACGGCCGATTATTCTGAGGTGTGTGTGTCTCACTCATGGTATAGTTCCCTTTACAGACCTGTGTAGTTGTTTGGCTGAAAACTGAGCCCTGGGGATGAGTTCAGTTCCAGACCTGAAGGGGGGCCGAGGGCCAGAGTCTGACTTTTATTCCCTGTTTTTCTCCCACCCTATCCAGGCCCTTCTGATGTGATCCCTTGGAGAGCACTTGGTGGCGGTAGCTAGGCACCATGTAGGTCTGCGCCATAGGGTTTTCTAGGGGGTCCTGGTGTGGCGCTGTGGGTTAATGCGCTGGACTACAAGTCAGTTTGAACTGCAAGGTCAGTGATTCAAGGTCACCTTGGAAACAGATTGCCAGCTTAGCCATCGGAGCATCAATGTGCAGCATGGCACTTTAAATTTCCAGTGTGCAGAAAGGTGACCCGAAGAGCATGTTAAAATGCAGATTCTCAATGCTACTTTTACTTGGTCAGAATTCATTTTAGGAGCTTCATCTTAGTTTTCCTCCAGGACCTACTCCTTACCCAGTCTCATCCCATGTAGTGTTTTATTTTTCTGGTTTTTTTTTAGTTTTTATTATGAATTGAGTGAAAATTTACAGGGCAGATCATTGGTTTTACATTCAATAAATCATATACTTGGTTTCATTATGATTATAATCCCCACCATGTACCATCAGTTAACAGTATTTCTCTCTATTCATTTTAGCTCTTTTTTTTTTTTTATTAAACACTCAGGCATATATAATAATTTACACCACCAAAGGGCACATTCTGCAAGTCTGCCTCTTGGCCACCAGCTCTCAGTTCCTCTCTTTCCATGAATCTAGAGTCCTCAGCTGCTCCCTCTCTCCATGTCCTCATCTCTGCCTCCATCTCTTCTCTGGTGTCCTCCCTGCCTCTCTGGATAAGGTCCTGCATTCTGCTTGTGCTCTTTTCCCTTGATGGTCCTAGGGTCCTCTGTTTCTGGACAGTAAGATTAACCACTCCCCTGTTTTTGTTACAAAACTTCTACCTTTACCGTTGTGACAGTCGCAATTAGTCGTGATAACAATTACTCACTATTGAATCATATGAATCTTATCCCATCTCCTCTTTTCACCAGACCCTACTAGACACGATGAAAACTATTCAGTGGGGACTCTTGTCCCCCAACACTTTTCAACTAAACTCCCTCTTGAAACCTTGTAAGCCAATCACTTTATGCCATCATTGCCCCCTCATTTTAGGTAGCCAGTGTCTTAAGTTGCCCATCCCTATCTACCCTGTGTACAGAGGGGATAATAGCATTGATACTTGATGTGAAGACTCCTTCCCTTTCTGTTGGTATTTTGAGCTACTACCTCCCTGAGTATAGGTCAAGTTCATCAAACTGTAGCATCATCCCATGTAGTTTTAGAGATTCTAAAACTCAGGGTGAACACATGATCCAGGCCTAGACCATCATCTCCATCCTGTCATCATGATTGGTTCAGGAACAGGCATGTAACTTGAGCTGAACCATTAAGAAACAGCCTTGGGATTTGGGCAGGAAGTGATGGGAACGGGGAGCTCTGTTTTTTTTTTTCTTGCTACAGTAAAATTGGAAGGACATTGTCCTGGAACCAGCAGTAGGAAGAGCCCACCAGGAATGAAGCCATTGTGGAGCACACAATAGCCCAGAAACAGACAGAGCCAGCTTCTGATGGCATCATTAGAACCCCAGGGTCCAGCTTCACCTGAAATGAGACCCTCCAAGATGTTCCCCTTATATGGACCAATAAATTACCATTTCTTCAGCTGCTTTGATTTGGGGTTTCTGTATATCAAAGTAGTCCTGATGGACACAGACTAGTTGGCAGCCCCCATGGACTCCAACGGTGATACAACACTTCTCTTTACTGAGCACCTACTGCATTTACATCACTGACGTGTTTGCCTCGTTTTGATCATCATAACAGTGCTCCTGTCAGTCTTGTTGCTATCCCCATTGTGCAGGTGAGAAAACGGCGGCTCATAAAAGTGAAGCCACTTGCCCAAAGGCACGCAGCTGAAGACACCAATCTAGGACTAGATTTGCAGCTCTCCTCCGCTCCGGCTGCGGGCCGCCTCATTCTGGTTATTGTACAAAATGCCACTGCCCTGTGTGGGGAAGCTTGTAAGAGCCTGACTGGAAGAGATGGGGTGGGGGTGTCTAGCAAGCTAGTTGGGCTTAAACAACAGACTTTAGTCATCTTATTTGGAAGAAAGCAAAATGGCTAGAGGTTCCTCAGTGTGTGGGCTGAGGGACACAGAGCTGTGTGTTGATGTGACCACTCTGGAGAAGAATCTAACAGGATAGAGCATTTCCCCTAACCGAGCAAAATCCTGGGTATCTTAACCCATGGGCTAAAGGAGGTAGGCACAATGACCTGTCCCTGGTGACACATCCGTCAGCAGTCAACTGGACAGGTAAGTTATAGTACAGTCAGATGGATTATCAACAGCACATAAAAACGAGTAAACTGGAGCCAACACCCCCCAACTGGATGAATCACATCAACACAATGTGGAGTGAAAAAACCCCAAAATGTGTGTGTTTTCATTTATGAAGAGTTACCAACGTGAAAATGATAAGAATTGTTTAGGGATGCACATATATTTAAGAGAACCAAGATGGCACAGGATGAGAAATACCAAATTCATAACAAGGGTATTTTTAAAGGAAGAGGAAGGCTGAGGGCAGTTCAAGGAAGGTCTCAATGGTATATGTAATGTCTTAAGCAGTGTGAGTGTTGGAGATATTGTTTGTTTTTTTTTTAACTATTTCTTGTGAATGAAGTGAATGTTCACAGAGCAGATCATCAGTTTTATATCCAACATATACTTTGCTTCATTACAATGACTGCAATCCCCTCCACGTACCATCAGTTAACAGCATTTACCTCTGTTCACTTTAACATTGCATTCCTCCCTGTGTCTCCCGCTACTTTCATCTTCTCTCTGCTAACCTCCTTCTTGTTTGTTTATTGCCTGCCCTGTCACCCATGTTAACATGTGTCTATCCTCTAGCCTGTGAATAACTTTCCCTCCCATACCTGCTCACCACCACCACCACCATCATTGGTTGTTTATTTTATTTAAAACTTTTCTTAACTTTTTTATAGCATTGGTCTCCTGCAATATCTGCCCTTTTGTGATTGACTAACTTCACTCAGCATAATGTCTTCCAGGATCATTCGTGTTGTGAGGGGTTTCGTAGATGCACGCTATTCTTCAACATTGCATAGTATGCCATTTTGTGTGTGTGTGTACCGAAATTTATTTAACCATTCTTCTGTTGATGGACATTTAGGTTGTCTCCATTTTTTTGATGTGTCTCTTGTAGACAGCAGACTGAAAGATCCTGTGTTCTTATCCATTCTGCTCTCTCTGTCTCTTGGCTGGTGCATTTAATCCATTTGCATTCAGTGTGATTATCCATAGGTATGAATTCATTGCTGTCATTTTGCTGTGTAATTTCTGTGGTGCTGCTGGACTCTTTGTTCCACAGAATTTTCTGTGCTGAGTTCATTTTGTTTGTGGCTTTTCTTTTCATTTTC